CCTGATGAATCTTTTGTGGAAATACCTAATTCTAAAACAGGCAAGACATTTTATGGGGGTCTTTTTTTGCCTTTAGTGCATTATCTCGGTGCTTGCCTGGGGGGTATCCATTCAGTTGATGTACATCAGTTGTGAATTAGGTCTTTCTCTCATTACTTTGGGGAAGCACTCAAGGTTAGTTAAAGACTTTTAGCTGGAATTAAACATATGTCAAGAGCTTTAGCAAACCAGCAGCTCCGTTTCATGAGAGTGTGCTATTTTGCTGTCTCTTCTAAGATCCTCTACAAAACACTGCGACTTTTCGTAATTCCTTAAGAAATTTATGCAACTATTTGCATTTATTCTGAAATATGTGATGAACAAAATAGCATATATACAATTAAGGGAGCAAATTACAAAAAAAGATTCTGTCTGCAATTGACTTTGTTCAAGCATCATCTTTTTGTCCATTTGTTTTCCCCAAGCTTTGAAAGGAAAAACCTGCTTCGTGCTGCTGGTAGTTCCGAGCATTGACTGAACTGGATGTTGCCATATGCAGGTCACTTTGTGGTGGTAGAACAAAGAGGACAGTAATGTTGTAGGCAACCGGCACGTGGATTCCAGATACATGTTACAGCACTTGAAGTGTAAGAGCCAGTGAACGGAGAGAAATTACATCTTTTTTTGAATCTTGAGGCGCTGAGTTGTCCAATGTGGCAATCTTTTTTTCCCCCACTAAGAAAATGAGAAAGCTGGCTTTGCAGAAGTAAACAGGCACCCAGTCGGAACTTGTCTTTAAATATAACTTTGCTGCTGTAATAGTCACAGGTAAGAATTACTCTCATAGCTCAATGTGTTCTTCCTTACTGACTTAAATCGGTGTGAGGAGCTGTGTCAAAGGTAAAAAGGATCATGACCTCTCTGTGTTCTGGAGGTTTCCTTGGGGGAAGACTTCAAGCCAGATGACACACAAAATGAAGTGGGATTTATGTGACAGAGGGAGCGCTCTCAGGCAGCCGCTGCTACCTGCCGTTAAAAATGAAAATAAGAAACAGTAGGCTTCTTTGATGGTACAGGAAATGGTGTTTCATACAGAATATAGTGACCTCTTCTCAGAGCATTTACTTTTATCCTCTCTGCAGTGTGCTGCTTATCCCCAAAGCATGCATTCAGTACCTGTGGTCCGTCTCGCCTACTGTCTAGTGTGCCAAGTAGTTACCTTGCTGCTCTACGGAAGGATATGACCCAAAGTCTACTTGTTTTCTTATTTTCTGTTCCAGTGACAGGCTGAGAAAGGGAAGTTATGGCTAGCTCTGAATGCAACGTCTAAGCAATGATTATTTAGTCAATGTGATTTTAGCGTTGCTGGTGACTTTTTGCATTATCCACGGGACAGATGGTCATGATATTACCGATACTGCTTCGTGCTGCAGTTCTGCATAAGCCACTGTAAATTATTCTAGTTGTCTAATAAAGGCTGTTTCAGAATAGCATGTCGGTCTTAAGCTATGGCTTGCAGGGAGCTTAAGCAAATCTTTGGAGCCATCTAATGGGGATATAGAAATGTTGGTTTTATTTAATAACCTTTGATTATAGCAGTTTCTGACATTAATGATGTCAAAAAGGATCTTAAAATTCAACTTAAAATCCAGGTTTTATTAAGCAGAGTTCAACCTTCCCTCCACTGTCTCCTCTTGGGTGAAACCTGAGTCTTCTTTGTTACTTTGGATGACCCGTTCTAGACTTATCCCAGTATTTCAGTAAGCTCTGTCTAATAATAGTATAATGAATGGCTTGGGGAGAAGAAAAGGTCCCTTTTTTGTTCAAGACGTGAAAGTATTGTTGCAGAGTCATGTTGTTAATCACGTGCTACCAGAGCAGGGAGTTGCTGGGGTTCAGAAAAGCACTGTCCTTTAGAAATGCTTGTAAGCATTTCTCATAATGAGTTGCAGTGTTTATCTGAAGTATGTAAACACCCCCGCTGGTGTGCACTTACATACAAAAGCTAGACCTGTAAGTAATTCGCAATGGTAATTCTACTTTGGGCTCTTGACTCAGAAGTTCTCAGATGCAGAGGCGTGTTTTGGCAGCTGTTCGGAGAGCTGCTGCAGGCTGATTCAGCATCAGAAGTGAACGCACCACGGATTGTCAGACACATCCCGTTAAAATTCTCTTGAATGGAAAGGATATATTTTCAAAATCAGAATTACTCACTGTTTTAAGCCAATGGTTTTTATGCCATATTTTTCTCAGGTTATTAAATGTAAGAGTTTATTACCCTGTGTATTCTGTGGAATCAAGTTAGCTTTGGAAGATTGATTTACATTCGGTGCATGTTGCATGTCAGAGCAAACGTTCTGGAGTGTGTTTTGTGTTGACAGTGATGCATGATTGTAAAGTACATTCTCCTTGCATAAACTGAATATGGGAATGGCAGTTTCAGAAACAATTAGCAAATAACTGAGCATAAGCAAATATAAGAAGCTATCCTGAAAGCATCTTTTTGTTCATTTGTTTCAAAGTATTCTGTATTTGTTACTTTTTAAGTATTAAGTAGTTACTGTACAATGCTTATTGTGGCACAGATCTGTTTTCCACACTTGCCTCCATCCAAAAACTGTGTAAAACTCTCCCTCTGCAAGGCTATGTTGTGCGTGGATATTATTTATGCCACTTGTGTGTGCTTGGCATCTACTCTTCGCTCTGCGAGGTTGCTGAGGAAGCCTGTTAGCACAGGTAGCACCTCAGTGAATTTGTGGGGAACTGTGCAAATGCACTAGCCGTGCTTACAGCCATGGAAAGAGGCAGCTGACTCCGATACCGGTGACTGGGCTGCTTGCCAAGGCTGAGGATTTGGAAGGTGAAGGAGATTGACCTATTAGAGGATCTCTGCTGCGGCGAGGAAGTTATCAGATTGAACTGGCGACACAGCAATGAAAGCATGACCAACTACTATTAAGATAGTGAGTACATTAGTTGTCCTTTGCAAGCACTTTTCCCATGTGACAGATACAAGGAGCTTGCTCCTTATTAAAAATTAGATGATACTCTGCATTTATTGTGGGCAGTTACTGCAGTAGCCTGTGAGGGTGTAAAACGGCTTGAGGTCATGGGAAGTACTGCACCAGAAGCTGTTTCAGAAAAGGTTGCAAAGGTGCAGATTTACATTCAGACTTGATTTTTAGTTTGTTCTTTTTCAGGGAAAACAGTTAAAGGTTTCTTTGTGGAACCTGTGAGGTGCCAATTTCTAACAGAGGGTTAGTCTTGTGCCTCATGTGAGGGACTTTTCCAGGGGATACATTTGCAGTGGGTAATTGCTGTGACTGTAGTGCCGTAGAGATTTCCCCCAATGTAGCTTGATGTGCAGTAGTTCAGTGTTGGAAGGCACCTAAATACAGCACAGGAAAGATGATTTAATACACTGTGTTTGATTTTTACACTGCACTTTGCGGTAGCAGTGGCTGCAGCATCAGCAACCTGCAACAATAACACACCGGTGTGAAACTTCACGAGTGTTTCCTTCTAGCATCTATCTCCCTTAGTATACTTGTCTAACAGGCTGTGTTTATAGAATAAGATAATTTTCTTTTCACATGAACTGAATGAAACACTGGAGAGAGTGTTCCTAGCCTCCTGGCGTGGTGGGATATATCCGGTTAGCCTGCCTCGTCCGCTGCTCCACCACAGCATCAGCATCAGTTCCCACCACTTACCGGTCATGCCAGGCACTACTGTGTCCGGCTGCCGGGGAAGATAGGATAGCTGCCCCGCTCGGCCTGTGCCTCTGCTTCTCTGTTCTTGCAGCGAAAGGTTTTCTTGGTGTATAATTTCACTCTTTTCTCTGGTGGATGAGGAGTACTCTTCATTCCTTCTTTGCAGCCCACAGAAACTTGCATTCTTAGCCTCAGCTTTTCTGTAGTTATATTTCTAGGGTATAAAACAAAAGCATGTTTTACTCTTGCCACAGTGCTTAGATTCGTGAAGCTCAAATTTAGGTCTTTCACCTCAATGCCAAACTGTTAAACTTGGGAAATAGAGAAGTTAAGATGCCCACGCTTGAGCATATTCTGAAGTAACCAACTGCGTGAAGGAGCTGGCGTTAGCTGATGCCTTTGTTTGTATTACAGCCTTAAACTGTAATAAACCTGAAGCTACAATTCACAAGGGCGCTTGCTGCTGTGCTGGATTTGAATTTATGGAATCAGAGTATGTCTCATAGCAAAGGTGTTAGAATTTGTTGAGTTGATTTAAAATACCGTAATGTGTTAATCAGAATAATGTGGTGGTTTGTGTCTGAAACATATGGACCAGTAGAAGGACCAGTAGGAAAGGGAACCAACTCAGGCAGTGAAGATCTGCACACAGAGTCTGTTCACTGTCCAGTTGCTTTGATTTGGATAGAAGAGTTCAGTAGGGAGCACAGACATGTTTTGTTGAAATTTTCTGTGTGTGCAAAATAGTTAATTGCGCTCTTCCCACTGGGCACCTCTCTACATTCAAGTTGATGTGCTGATGCTTAATAGCACGTCAATGTGACGTGGGTGAAGAGATCTCTGAGCTCACCATGGAGCTGTGGTAGCATGATTGTGGCAGCTAAAAAGCTGGTCAGTCATCTAAGCTAATCATCACAGTAGTACATTTTGATTAGTAAAATCAGTAATCTCCTGCCTAATTTCTAGTTCTGGCAAATTTTAGTATTTCTAGCTTTTCTTCTCCACTCATGATGGAAGATTGTTAAATCTTTAAAATACTGTATAAGCAAAAATGATATCTGAAGGTTTTCATGTATCTGTAATATATTATTCAGTCATGGGCCTGTTTTGTCTTTAAAAAAAGAAGAGTAAAAATAAACTCTTCAAATAAATTATGCTTCCTGTTTCACAAAAACATGAAAAAAATGATAATCTGTTCACCTGTGATTCTCTACTGGATGAGTCTAATATATAGCAGTAAGGTTGTTCATCATTTGTCCTCTGTAAAATCATAATATAATTTGTTCATAATGTTATTTTTTTCTGTAGACCTCAACTGCTACGGTTAATATAGTGGTGACGGATGTAAATGACAACGGACCAGTTTTTGATATGTTTCTGCCTAAAAACCTGTCCGTACAGGAGGAGGAAGCCAATGCTTTTGTTGGTCAAGTAAGGGTAAGTTGTTAATGATGCAGAGTTAAATTGTTTATTTTATTACACAAACTGTTCAGACTATTAGAAAAGAGCGCAAAATAATGGTGCCAGAAACAAACTCGCATCAAAACGTCTTCGGTTTAAATGCAAACCATCTGTTGTCAGGTGCATTTATATTAACTGATCTTTTGAGCTTTAACGTACAGAATTGGTTTTCTAGGTTTAATAGCCAAAAAGGCTTTTTATCATTTACAATTAAAACTGTTTTTGAAGGCACACCACTGTAAAAGCTTGCTTATAACAGATTTGCAGTGTCACAACATTGTTGCCGCGTTTGTGTACTCTTGGGGATTTCTTCTAAAATATTTTTCTTACCATATCTAAGCAGCAGTGCATATGTGTGTAGAATTGCCACGGATACACAGAACTGTAAGGCAGTTAAGGGGCAAAACAGTTAAACTGTCCACCAAAATAACTGGTTACCTGTCGCAAAAATAGGTAGTGCTTGAGATATTGTTAATTTGAGTAATTTGAGGCTGTGTCATTTGTTATAACACATATGGTTCTTCTGGACTACCGAATGCAGATTCAGTCACTTGAAGCCTGCATCACTTTTTTTGTCGAAGTCACTTTCCCCTAACATCAGGCAACAAAAAGAAATTATGCTTTTTTTTTATAAACTAATGGTTGAATATTATGTTTTGTATTTCCTTCAGTGATGGGTTAGCACAGTAGTTGAATGCCGTATGAGTTGTAGGCAAAAGATGAATTTGGAATCTCGGGGGTTTTTCAGTAATTTAGGCAAAAATCTGCCTTTCTTTGCAGTAGCAACCATATCAGTAGAGAATGAGAGTTCCTGAACTGCTGTGTTAGCAGTACCTTCAGAAAGAATAGGATGCTTTGAGTAGCGTGGTAACCACATTGGGCAGCATATAGCCATACTAACCAAATTTATATATATATGTTTCCTTCCAAATTTGTATTATTCAGTAAGAAATCCATCAGTGTTCCATGTCTGCTATACTTGGTTGTTGATTTTGTGTTCTTTCTGAGCAAACTTCAGCTGTTTTCTGGTGTTTATAAATTGATGCTTCTTTGGGACAGGTTTGTGTTTTCTTCCAATTTATGTTGCTTATTCACAAAGTTTAATTCCCTTCATGTTGTACTTGGAGTTCTGTAGACACCTTCGCTACGGTTTCATTTGTCCTTAGACTGAAGTGGTTCTGCATTTGTCTGTGCCGTGCTTTGCTCTGTCACCTGGTATTATTAAAGGTGGGCACTGCTCTGAAATTGTTGAAGCTCGGATGCAATTTTCAAGGGAAGTAACTTTGGTCAGCACTGATGAAGGTAAAGCTTAGTTTTTTTATGCTGGACTGAACTATCAGCCATGTCAAACGCTGTTTGGAAGCCTCAGATTTACAGAAATTGGAATCCCTGCCATTAAATCGGTTTCCGTAAATCAATAAGCTAATGCGTTGGGTTTTGTCTTTGTGTTCATCTTATGTGGCTGTTGTTCATTTTGCATCCTAAAAGGTGCAAACGTGATATTTCAAATCAGTACCAAATATCTTTAAAATCCATTTTGTCTTTTGCTGGGTGCCCTCAAGGTGCAATAATCTTCTCAAACACTACATTTGGTCTATTTTTAGCTTAGGTGGAACTATAAAATAAAACAAGTTATTGCAACAGAACATCTCTATTTTATAAATTAGTATCATTTCTAATTTCTGATGAAATGAAAATATTTAATGAACTCTTGTGATAGCTTATTCCCAGTCATGGAATCACAGGAACTGGTTATATCATTTATTATCATGTTTAACACCAGTCCTCATTTCCAGTCTATGGATGAAAAAAGCTTTCCCTTTATAACACAAAGCCTGAATGTAGTTTCTACTGTTTCCTATTCCCAAATGCAAATAGATAATATAGAAGAGAGTGATTCGGGCATTCAGAATTTTTTTGCTTGCTTCAGTGAGATTATCGAAATAATGGTGATGAACATTTAGGTGTAGCTATGTTGTTTGAGAATATTTGTCTTGAAAAACTGAAATAGCTTTTGCTGTGTTGTGCTTCACAGTAGGTTAGAACTACAGTACATATGGAAGAGGTTTCTACATGAATACATTTTGTACAGAATTTGTAATGTGATTAAAATATAAAGGCTTATTTTAAATGAAAATAGCCTGGTAACAGTAGGTAACCCTTATTGTGTCCAGAGTTTTCAACACCAAGAATTAAGCCGCTGACTAGCCAGCCTGCTTTTCAGCAGGATGTCTTTTACTATATTCATTTCAGACAGAAACCTGAAATCTGCCAGAGTAAGCAGCAATATAGATGATTTGGAAAACATAAAAAAACAGGTTTCATGGTGTCCATTTTCCTTTTGAGTGTTGGCTTCCCATTCTGCGTGGGGAGAAACAGAAGAGATACGGGCCCTGCCACTCGTCGAGGCAGAGGACCTAGTAGTGGAGGATATGGAAAAGGTGCTCAGGTGCCGGGATGCCTCAGGTGGTTTGGCTGCGAAGGTTTGGTAGCAGGATCTTCAGCTGCCTGAGCTCAGGGTCAGTTTGGGAGAGGAAAGCGCTACTGCAGAAGATAAGTGTCTGTGTAAGGAAATAAGATGTAAGCAGTGACCTAGATGCTGAAGGAGTGACCAGCCAACTTCCAGAGGCCCCTCTCAACTGAAGTAATTTTCTTTCTAAGCCACTTACTATTTGAATCTAGTTTACAGTGAAATCCATTATTTTATTCATGCGAGATCCGCCAAAATCAATTATCACATGGTTTGGTTACTAGGAGCAGTAACTTTTTTTTTTTATAATTGCCAGTTGACACAGTAGTGATGCTGGAGATATGTTCTGTGATGTCAATAAGCAGAAAAGCAAAGCTCTAACAGATTTATTGTTACCTATATTAAAATGTTAGAAATAGTCTAGATTGCAATAAAAGCTATTGAAAAGTTTTTCCCATTCTTGACTTTCTGTTGGAGCTTTCTCTTTATTTCCTCTCCTGAGCCTGCAAGATTCCATGTTCTTTGTTTGCTCATTTATTCTAAACAAGTGAAGAGTTGCATTCTCACTCTTCTTTTTTTCCCTCTCACCTAAATAGAGATATAGTTATAAGCAATTTAGGATATAAAACATATTGCTGAAACACTCACAGGAATAACTCCTACCAGCGACAAGAGATTTCTGTGCTCTACTTTGTTTTGAGTGGGAAAGTTGGAGTTAAAAAGGGGTTCCTGCTAGGTAGTGTTTGGAAATTTGTCTCCCAAAGAGACGTAGAGCAAGGGCAACGAAAGATTTTCTGTCAAAGATTCCCTCTTGTGGCTCGTTACTGGCAGGGGACAGGATTCACTCTCCGCCACTCGGATGACTCTTTGTCTGCCAGTTGGGGTTCCCGAAGGCACTGGGGTAGGAGTGCTGCCTGTAGGAATTCGAGGAGCAGACTGAAGATTAAAACAGCAAAAGCTGGAAAGGGATAAGGCTGGAAGTGTAGCGGATGTATTTCAAATCTCTTTTACTTGACACAGTGTTGTCTAAATTGGGGCAGTCGGAGGTGTATTAATTCCATGCTGTTCTTTCGGGTCTGATCATGGGGATCGCCCAGCAAGACAGGAAGAGAATTGCTGCATGAACTTCTCTACAAAGGACAAACAGGAAACAAAAAGCTTCAGATGGGAAGCTCAAAAATGCAATTCGGGCACCTTATTGTCTGTTGCAGTCTGAAACAGTTCAGGTCCTGCTTAAAATAGGACGTCTGAATGATTTGCATTGTACAATGTAATATTTATCAATACCACGTGCATTGTAGGTAAAAAAGGGGGGATGAAATTTAGGTGGAGATCAATGTATCAACTGCAAAATCTGCACACAAGTTGACGTTCTTGTTCAGCAAAAGACAGTCTGGAGTGGTTTGTTACAGAAATAGTCTGTGGGTAAATAAGAAGCTGTTAACCGGATGGGGCCCAGGAGAGGAAACAAATCACTTGTTGGAGATTTTTATTCGTCTGTTTGCTGTATTTACCCAGATTCCTCCACATACACCCATCATTTGTTTATTGTGGGCATGTTTTTGTGTCACTGGTCAGCACTGTTTGAAATGTCCAACATGAACATGTTGGTATGGGGGGAAGATAGCAACATGAAAGGAAATGAGAAGGGAAATATGGATTAAGATTTACATGGCAGTGGGTGAACCAACCTTCCCTAAGGTGGAGACAGTATAAATAAGCTACAACAATGAAAGCATTTTGTAAACAGTGTGGCTGATACCTCTGTCTTCTGCTTCTTTTTCTAAATGAGAAAAGAAATGCTTAAAGAAAGTAAGTTACTCTTTAGGATGGAGCTATTCTACCTGTTGGAAAAGTGAGCTTTGAAGGACTTTCTTTGATTGTACAGTATAATGGAATTGTTTTGCTTTTCTATTTATGTGATAAATGTAAATTCATACCTGTGGTATGTATACAATAGCATCTGTCCACTAAAGAAAAAAGCAAGGTGAAACTGTAAGACAAGTGAGACAGAGACAGCTTGTATAGCACCAGTCTAGGGATTCTGAACGTTTTCCTTTAATGGTATAGAAGTATTTTAAATGTGTTGTGTAGAGAAGCAAACCGCCGCCTTTCAAATCTAATGAAATGTAATTATGATATGAATTTCCTAACAGAGCTTACTGTCTGTGATTATCAGTGAATTCTTACAAGCTTCTCTTTTTTTCAGCATAGAATGCTCATAGACCGAGATATGATATCCCACAGCCTGCACTGTAGATTATGCTTACCTGTTTTAAAATGCCAGTTTCTGAAATTAAATTCTCAGCTCTCTGTACCTTTAGACAAACTTGTAGGAAAATTAGAGGGAAAAGGACAGGACCAGAAAAAAATGGAGATATATTGGCAGGAGAAGGCAGTCTATGATGGCAAGGAATTAAGCCTTTGGTGAACAGTAAAATCACAGCCTCTGAAATAAATCTCAGATACCCAGGGTGAGTCCATGACTACTACTCACTGCGTAATA